GAATGGGCTGGCAATCCTCCTGAGATTCTCTAAGTCTTGCTTGACTCATAGGACAACACAGAATCTTAAAATCTTCATTAAAGAAGAAGCATATTTGATTGTCAGAGCTGGCATACATGTCAGACCATGAAACCAGCTCCTTGCTCTCCTGACTTTTGTTTTGGTACTAGGGATTGATTGAACCCAGGGATGCTTAACCACTGAGCCACATCCCCAGTCCTTTTTTAATATTTTATTTGAAACAGGGTCTCTTGAGTTGCTTAGGGCCTTGCTAAGATGCTGAAGCTGGCTTTGAACTCATGATCCTCCTACTTCGGTCTCTTGAGCCACTGAGATTACAGGCATGTGCCACAGCACCTGACTCCGATATTCAAGACAGGCTCCCCTGACCCCTTTCCTGGGCTGTGCTGTCACCCCCAACCTCCGCCTACCTCAGTGTTCCATCTCAAATGGAAATGATGCTCCCATGGTTTTGTGTCCCCAGTAGATGACAGCAGCCCCCAAACATGGGGCCTGGTGCATGCTGGGTAAGCAGGACTTCCCTCAGGCGAGTGCTCACCAACATCATGGATGAACTGCTCGATCTTGGCCTGCATGCCCCAGTATCGGAACTCCACTTTGCACAGCTTGTAGGCACACATGAGGGGTCCCGTCTTGGCGGCTGTCCGCGCCCAGTCATCAGTCAGTGGCCCTCGGCCTGTTTTGACTGAACGGTACAGCCGGGGGTCCTCTTCAGCTTTGTATTCACCTGGAGCCACTGCATCGCGCACAATGTCGATGGTGTCTGAGGGGGTTCAGTGAGCACTGAGCCGAGCCAGCCCCTTCAAGCCACCCCCGCCTTCCCCAGGGATTAGGATCACGATCACAGCCTTTCACAAACGGGAAGCCAAGGCCCAGAAAAAACTTGCACTTGTCAAGAGACTGGAAATTGAGGTGGCAGCGGGGCTAAGAGGGGCTCCAAGCCTCACCGAGGATCCGCTGTCTCCTCTCAGCTCCACTTAGGTTGAAGACGTTTGGCTGCTGCCCCCCATCAGGGAGGTAATAGGTCTCTATTTCAATGGAGAATTTCTCCACGAAGGGGCAGGTATACCTGGGCAGAAGCCAGGGTGAGGGTCGTTACTGAGTCCACCAGGGCTGTTCCCTGTTGACCCCAGCCTGTGTGCCTTGTCCACTCACCGGGTTCGGGTGTAGGGGTATGCATTCCAAGACTCTTCCTCTACCTGCAGGGCGGCCTTGGGCAGCAGTGCCCGGAACCAGCCTGGGATGTGGGAGCCTACATGGTACACTTTGTGTGTGTACTGCCCGCTCCCCCCGGGCCCATCAGTGTAGGGCCGGTTGGCCAGGATCTCCACACCGCTGCCCTCACCACTGGACTCCTCCCGACTCTTTTTCTGCAGCCAGGACAGAGCAGAATTGGAGACTCAGTCTTGGCCCTGCTCCTGGGTGGGGACCCCAACTCAGTTCTGACCCCCTACATAGACTTTCCAGCTCTCTGCAACCTGACCCTGGTCCCCAGCAGCTTCCTGGGTTCATGATCATGATCACTGGCACTGCCCAGTCCCCCACAGGGCTTGGGATCAGTTGGGGTCTACTGATGAACAAACTCAAGATCCCTGCCCATGTGGAACAAGCAGGATGGGAAACAGAAATCATGAGAGGGACCAAGAGTTGGGGCTGCAATGTTGATATGAGGGTCAAGGGAGGCCTTGCTAGGGGGCAGTGACCACCACTTGAACATGATCTGAGGTGGGGGGTGCTCTACAGCTGTGGGCTGGGGGAAGTATTTGAGGCAGGGGGACGAGGCAAGCTCTGAGGTCAACCATGCTCTTCCTGCTCAAGGAGTGGCAAGGAGGCCAGGCTGGCTGGAAAAGTGGCCTCCACCTCTCAGAGGACCTGACCTTGGTCCCCTCCTCTCGGAGACCAGAATCCCAGTTCCTGCCACACCCCTCAAGGCTTGAGACCCCAGATCCTGCTCTTTTATAGTTGTAGAGCCCAAATTGGCGGCTCAGCGGGCTGAGCTGGATCCTGGCTGCCTTGCCCACTTAGACTCTGATCCCACAGTGCTGGGGAACAGACTTGGGACACAGATGGTACCCTTGAGCCTGGTACCATCTTCTCCCTGTCCAGGCCCACCCTCCTCACAGCCAAAGCCCAGATCCCACCCTCACACTCCATCCCTGCCTGCCAGTCCCTGTCACAGTTAGGACTCTCTAGAACCCCTTCCTGCCTTCTCTTCCATGTAGACCCCCCATTGCCTCCTCATGGCTCCTTTCCCTTCCCCCATGGGATTAGATTCTGAGGAGGATTAAAGGAGCTCAAATGGGTTTAGCAGGCTGGGCACTTAGAGGGTGGGAGACACCACTCACCGTCCTGTCCATTTACCCGACACCCCCCCTCCTCGCATCGGAAGAGGACCTTCCTCTTCTGGGCTCTGAACCCTTCCCAGTCAAGGTGCAAGTCTGGCGGGGATGGAGCTGGGCTAGACCCCTTGTCCCAGTCGCGGCCTGCGCACTCCCACCGTTACCCATCGCGATGTATGGCCCCCTGGTCTCCCCCTCCCCACGGCCCTCACCTGGATCATGTAGAGCTGAGCCACCTGGTACTCGTCCAGGCTCATGGGCAGCAGGATGTGGTACTCCTTGATGAGCATCCTGAAGGCGCCCAGCTGGCCGCGCGCGCG